CACTTATACAGGAGAGAGGGGCCGTGAAAGCAGGGTTCACAATCATTACCTTCAGAATACATTGATGTGGGCATTGAGAAGAGATAAGGAGAGGGGCTGTGAAAGCAGGGTGCACAGTCATCACCTTCAGAATATTCTGATGCAAGTTAATGCTTGGAAGGTCTACTAGCTTCATCAGGGAACACTTTATGATGTTGAAGCCAATGATTTAGTTAGAACTGAAGGAACATTGACTTTAGCATTAAGGTCTATCTACTTTGTATGATCTTTTGGATGTTCCTGTTCCTAATAGCTTGGTGGCCTTTTAACAACCTCGTATCCATAAGGTGGAAACTGGCAATCTATGTATCCATCTATCAAGGGTCTTGGAGCGGAGATTGGTGCTTAATTTTTGGGTATTCACGTTTTAAGATTCCTGTTCAACTTGTTAGTTGTAAAGGTAGTACTAGCGTATTCACCAAGGAACTTGTTGTGCAGGGGAACAGGTTCACATTCTAAAGAAAATGGTAGATGCATAAAAGGGGCACTACACAATGTTTGTCCTGACAATCCAATCTTGGGACTTGGGAGAAGTGGACTGGATATGGACCTAATTTTTGGCAGAATGTGGCTGCTTCATACCAGAACCTGTAATGTCATTCTTATTATCCCAAGGGTTTAACATGGTACCAAGAAATCACCTCTTTTATCAAATTTTTAGAGCAAGCTGAGACTGAAAACCAAAACTTAAAACACAGATATCCATCTAACTGGAATGGATATTTCCAGGATTTCTCTGGGATTTGTCATCCTGTGATTTCTTTGGGATGCCTATGAAAAAAAAAAGACCTTGTGAATGGTCAATAAATGTAAGCAATAGAACCATTGGTTGGGTAGAGCATGGCATGATTGTTTGGTGGAAGCAAACTCTTTTGCCTTGTAAACACATAAACTCAGGCTTTTACATTAACAAACTACTTAACCCATTTTAAAAATCTATTTAGTTTATTAGATTAGGACCTAAAGAATTCTCTCTCTCTCTCACATACACACACACAATAAAAGGATCTCTCCCCTTCTAGAACCTTCATCTGTTCCCCTTCATCAGAATATTTCCAGATGTAGGGGCCATTTGATAAAAGCTGAAGTGGCTGAATTGAATGACTTGTTGCTTTGTTTTTTTGCAAATAATTTATTCAGGAGGTTGCATGCTCCTTAATGGATGAATCTTAAGTTTTACTATTTTATAATATGGATATAGTTATCTACTAAAAAGAGCAATAAATCATTCATTTCAACCATATAAACTGTTATTGAATGGCCTTGTAGTTGGTGTTTTCTTAAATTTCTTAGTCAGTTGAGGGCCACACTGACTGCATGACTAACTAGTCGGTTGAAGACCCATGATGCGATCACCTGGGAATTAATCACAAACTTGATCAACTAGTTCCATTTACAACTAGTCAGCCTAATCAAACTATTCAGTTACTGATATTAAAATTTTATTTGTTTGTTTTTATTTTTAATTATTTAAAATAACAACATAGATGCCTTTATTATGAATGCTAGTTGCTTTAAACATTTCTGGCGAAAGTGTGATGTAGGACAAGGTAGGGGCCTACAAATTTCAGATCTGGTGGTGGGCTTGTGGGGCGAAGGTGGGGATATAGGTGATTCAGGATGAAGAATGGAGATGGAAAAGTCCCTTTTTCTACTTAACTAATATAGCGTTTATAAATGGATTTCCTTCTGAGTTGTTTCCATAAGATTCTAGATCTCAATGTCATATTAAGTTCACTTTAATAAAGTCCAAATTCATATTTCTTCTTAACTACTTCCCCTAAATATTGAAAATATAGAGAGAAATTTCTTGTGAAAGCCTACTGAGTGAGAAAAGGACAAAAAAATTGGTGCTTCTAGGAAATGACTCCAGCATTTTCCTTGGGAGCCTCAAAATCTGTGGTTTCTAGTGATCCAAAGTGATAACAGGGGCCAAAATAGATGGGACTGAAGTCTGGAGCTTGTTGATGGGAAATGAAATTTCTCAAATGGAACAATGGTTAACACAGTTAGAATATAGAAGACAGTACAAAAGATCCTTTGATTCTAAAATAAAGGTTCTATTTGTTGATTTCAGTGAAAATATCAATCAGTTAAAAATAAGATATATTTTAGATGTAAGACAATCTGTATAGATTTACAGTTAAAATTTTATAACATTATAAATTTTAATCTATGGAAATATCTCTTCATATTCTTTAAAATTATAAAACATGCTTTTTAAAAGTAAACAAGAAGGTTAAATGGGTATAGTTATTTACTCTTTGTTAATGCATAAGTTTTGCACACCATAACTGTGTACCTTCTAAAATTTTTAAGCTGTGCCTGCTTACTACCAAAAGTGAAAAATTCCATAGTTGATGTACTCTTATGGTTCAATCATGTAATAATAGGGTGTGCTAAAGACTTTCTTGCTTATTTAATAACTTCTTGAGCTCTAATCAGAGCCTCAAAAGCAGCAACTTTCTCTCTCTCTGTCTCTCTGTCTCTCATAGCTGCAGCTCAAAATGGTTACATTCACCATGTGTGTTGCAATATTTTTCTTATGCTTTTGCCGCTTGTGAGATCACCACTACCACCCCTAAAAATACCACACAAAAGAACACTAAATATGTCATGGAAGCAAACCACAATAACATATTTCAAGAATAATGTTCTCATTTTAATTCCATTAGATAACAATGAATACCTTGTTTTTTCTTTCTATTTGATAGTCTTGCACCACTAATTGCCTTCTTTTGTTCATTATTTTTGTGTGTTTCCTCTACAGGTTGTTACAGTGAAACTAATGTTGCATGTACTGCATCCTATGTCCAGCTTTTAGAAAAATCCTACTTTCTTATTTTGATATTGTAAATTTTTCTATAAATTAGATGCTCTGTCTTTAATCTTCTCATTCCTTTCATTTTCTCCTAGGTGCGGACTTGAGTGACACATTGATGGACCGCATGGTAAATACAGTCAAACTGTAGCATCAGGATCCATTACATCTTCATTTTCATATAAACAATTTCACAAACTTATATTTTTGCCAATAATATGTGCTAAGAATACATTGTACAGAAAATGGAAATGGATATTTACTTAATCTAACTTCACCAAAAAAGAAGAAAACAAATCAAAAGAAAATGAACAATCTGAATCCTATTTGGCTGTTGTAAGCTCCACATATAGCAATCTTGGCTTCATTTATCATGATGTTTAAATCTAACGGAAAAAGTTTGGTTGCAGTGCAGTAAACCGGAAAGAGATTAGTGTTTAGTTAACAGAAAACCTTGGGTTCTGTTATTCAGTTTCATATTTGAAGAAAATTAAAAATACTTTGGTTGCAGTCTGGTAAACTGGAATGTGAATTTTGTTTCATTACGTTCTACTTTGTTTGATTTACAATGGTTGGTAATGAATATAAACATAATTCTTTATTTTTATTTTTATTTTCTGTCCAGGTTCTTAATGAAGCTAACTTCACAAATGCTGTGCTCATTAGATCTGTACTTACCCGCAGTGATCTTGGGGGTGCAGTCATTGAAGGTGCTGACTTCAGTGATGCTGTCTTGGATCTTCCTCAGAAGCAGGTAGTAACTTCTATTCTTGTCTTATATATTGATATCCATTTAACATAATTTAGGTTTTCTGCACATGTTAAAACAGCCTTTGCTGATGACTAGTTTTCTCTTCAGAATCCACTGTTAATGGTTATTCTGTTGCTTCCTTATTTACTTATAGTTAAGAATTTTCAGTAACTGAGGATCCGATACCAAGAACAACCTATTATTGGTGTTTATATATCAAGCGCTTTAGTTCTTAATATGTAGCAGCAATCAATAGGAAAGACAAAACCCTTATGTTTCACTAGAAGCTCAGTTATTGATAGCAGCCTTTGATTGACCACTGTTCCTTTTCCCCCTTTCAGAAAACATCTGGAAATGCCATATTATGCTTCTCCAGATACTTCCTATTTGTATACTGTTGAATTAGGAATCTTCAGTGACCGAGGGCCTGATTAAGGGTGGATTCAAGCTGAGCTGGCTTGGCAGAAAAACATAAAGCTTGAATTCGGCTCAGCTCAAGCTCGATAGTGAGCCAAACTTCATATAAAAAATTGTACATACAAAAAATTAAAAATATGCATAGAAAAAGATCAGCTAATCCTTCGGTGGGCGCTTTAGCTAGAGATGGTGTCAAGTAAGAAGAGTTGGTTTGGGGTCCCGGCTAATCCTGGATAGCCAATGAGTATTATTGGGGGTTAGGCATATTTGTGTGCTGTTTATTTCATCATTCTTGTTGGTATTTACGTCCAATCAATTTGTAGGTATTTGTTCCATAACACGTTAAAAATCCTTACTGGGCACCTCATTTTTTATCTCCTTTTTCAATCATGTATAACAATTAATGTCGTCTTTGTTTAACGTTGAGTTCATTCGTTTAGGCTCTGTGCAAATATGCAAGTGGAACGAATCCTGTTACAGGGGTGAGCACGAGAGCTAGTCTGGGTTGCGGCAACAGTCGTCGTAGCGCTTATGGGAGCCCATCATCTCCTCTATTAAGTGCCCCACCACAGAAACTGCTTGATCGGGATGGATTCTGTGACCAAGCTACGGGCCTCTGTGATGCAAAGTGATGGGGTGAATGAATACCATTATCTTGTATTTGTGAATATACACATGGAGGCGTCAAAAGAATCATCCTTGTCGATCAATTCAGTTTATGGATAACTGTCAAGAGACAATCGAACAACAACGAGCTTGTATCTATTTGTATTTGTTTTAAACAAAATGTGAAGCAAAAATTTCTGAAACAGCATTATGACCTCCATTCTCCGTTTTGGCATCTGAATATTCCTTTTATTTTGAAAGCCAATAGATAATCAGGAATAACGTGCAAGCGGCGATGACAGCTGAGAGAATAAGAGTGTCTCTTGATCGCTTCTTCTTGATGGCACCTGCAAAAGGTTCGAATCGAGTATTAACAGCAATTTCAAAAGAGCAAATTTGTTATACAAATAGATCAACAGAGACGCAACGTACCAAGAAGGCCACGGATGATAGGAAACTTGTCACTTAGTTGCTTGACTTTCCCTTGAACATCTCCAAATAAGGTTCGTTGGGAGCTCAAAACTGACCTCGTAGCTTGAGCTTGATTTATCACTTCATCAATCTGCCCGGAATCAAATTACTTGTATTGTGACTTTTGTGAGGATAACATTGGACAACGTAACAAGGTGCCTAATTAAATACAAATCACGGCATTTGGAGGGAAAATTGGTTTGCTCATAGAGCGCGCTTCACGCCAACCAAACAGCACCTTGCAGCCCTATTTTGGCAACATCTTTCCATGAATGACAAAATCAATTACGAGAGATGTTCAGCATTATGAGGTTGGTGTGAGGTGCACAGTGAGGAGCAAATACGGATTCATTTGGAGGATTTTATTTAAGGAGGATTTCATGCAAAGGGGAAATAAAAATGGGGAATTTGAATAGGCTAAGCAAAATATCTATTTCTTGAAAAGCATGAAGAATGCCGAAAATTAGAAGAATTTCTATTTTTGGAGCATCACCATTATGAGCTAGTAATTCAACAGTTGATGGGCAAAAGCTGACGTACGGGAATCCACCTAAGTTAGTAACAATAACTATTTTGTAAGAAGTTGGTTGAAGTGAACAATAAGCATTATAACTGCCAAGTTTGAAAACCTCAACTTGGGATGATAACGTAAAGGTTTGATGTTCCTGCTCCTGGACGATTTCTCTTCAAGGCTTGGAGAATTTCTAGGGAAATTGATTGGGTTTTCTAGGGTTAGGTTGTAAGATGATGCAGAAAATTAGAAAGACAATGGATGTTTACCTAATTTGTGATGATTTGATAGCCCAATAATATTAGTCCAAACTCCAAGAACAATATCACCAAAATGCACCAGCAACAAAGAGAAGAAAATAGATCCAGGAGAGAAGCAAAGAAAGAATATGTCAAGGGGAAACACCTAAATTCTTTCTAGGATTTAATATAAAATAGAAAAAAAAAGGAAATAAATGGAGAACATGACCTTCCATACATGAATATGAAATAAAATTGGACTTACATGAGCAATATTTCCATGTATAGCAGCTCTCTCTCGTAATAAATGCATTCTAGGTGACATACTCCCAGATACCTGGACCAAAGTAGAACAAATAAGWGAACAAAATTAGCATGGACTATTGAAAAAAAAACAAACAAATTAAAACTAGAATGAAATCAAATGAGTTCACAACCAAGCCTTGCTGACCTTGTGTTCACTAATATCATCCCTCACAGAACTTAGAAGTTCAGCATGCTCCCTCATGGAGTTTATATTTCCTTTGATTCGTCTAAATTCCTAGGAGAAAAAAAAACATGATCTCTTCAAATATACTGAGGGTGACCTTGATCAACACATAAAAACAAAGAACTTGTATTAAAGGCACTTCCATAAGTAGAACTGATTTTGTCATATTGAGTGAACAGCAAGTGATATGAAAAGGCAGTTCTAAAGCTAAACAGCCAATGTGCCTAATTGGATTATAATCAGGTCAAGATATGTCAAATCCATGCAAACATATATATGATTATGCATGAAAAAAAAAGTTTTACAAAACAAAACTGTTTTGGCACATCTATCTTGATAAATAGGATTTGCATTAATTATGACCATAATTCCCATTGTCTTTGAAAGTGATCATATTGAATGCCATCAAATTCTTTAAAAATTGCAGCCCAACACTGTAATAGGCCCTCAATTTTGTCAACGTTCAGACCTGTTGAGCAATCATGTTGATAAAAAATTCTTCCATTACTCTCCTTCCAAAGGGACCAACAGATAGCAAAGGGGTAAATTCAAGAGGATTTTCCATCTAGTGCTGAAAACAATCACTTTCCACGAAGAGATCAAAATTACAAGATTTTCAGGGAGCACCCAAAACCAGGCAAGAAGCTTCTGAAAGTGAGCCCAATCTTGAATGTAAAACTGCAGTGAATTGGTTAATGCTTAAGTGTCTCCTCTTCCACACTGCAAAGACAGCGTGCTATTTTCAAATGATCAATAGTGAGGATCTTGTCTTTTTCTTTTATAAGTAAAGGATTTGTATCAATGTGAGGGTCTTTTCTTGAACAACCGTCCAAAAGAAAAAGGTAACTTTGGATGGTACTTGTACTTTGCACAGCCACCTCCAAGGAATAGAAGAATGGTTTGGCCCTTTCAGTTAAATAGAATGATTGGACTTTAAAAAAATCAGTCTAATTTTCTGAACTTTATAATAACACCTGGGATGAATGTTGGATCTACTAAGATTAGCTAATAAAATGATTGCAGAATCCACTTCCCAATAGTTAATATCATGTCAAAACCAAGACAGCCATACTCTGTTATCAACAGTCACTTAATGGAATTTACTAAATGTGGCTTCCTTGTTCACAAACAGATGGAATAGGGAAGGAAAACCTGAGCTTTGAGACCTATCACCAATCAAAGATCATTTAAACCTGATTCCTTGAATGTGAACTCCTGTGCTAGGCTTAAAATTGATGTATTTAATTCTTCCCTAATTTGCATAACACCTTGCAAGGTGCTTGTCTTGTAAGTGTTTGTATGAGTCCAGATTCCTGGTCATGTGAAGTACCTCTACCTCCATATTTGGTAGAAATAATCTTTCTCCACAAATTATCCTTCTCCATTCTGTACCTTCACAATCATAAGATGATTTCTTCCTGACCACTAATTTCAGAATTTGGGTGATAGGGATATTGGTGTCTTTTTAGTTTGTTGGTATTTTAGGAATATGACTTTTAAGTGTTCTAGAAATTTACTTTTAGCAATAAAAAAATGAAATTATTATTTATAGTAACTTCCAAATTTACTATCTATAGTAATTCCCATATTTCTATTTGTAGTAAATTTACAATCTACTTACTTTCAGTAGTTTCTGGTTTCCTTGCTTAAGTTAGTTTAGTAGGATTGGTAATGAGCTACTAGAGTTGTTTTAGGAGTGAGAGTCCTTATGCAAGTGTTTCTATGGGTTCCCCATGGGTTTGTCTTAGTTTTATAGAAATTATATGTTCTAGATCAACTTTGGAGTCAGTTGAATGATATCCAAGTTCTTATGTTAAAAGTCACATTGTAATTGAAAAAGGATAACTAATTTGATGAACAAAGTTTGTCTAGTTAATTCTGGTTGCAGCTACGCGTTTTTCTTTATATTCCTCTTACTTATTTCTTCTTCTAAGTGATCTATCTCTTTGCTGTTTACTCCAGTAGCAAGAGCTTCTCTTTCTTCCTAATCTTTATCTCATTGAAGGCTTAAAATGTTGGTGCTGGTGGAAATGTCAGTCGTCCAAATATAAGAAACATGTCAGAAAATATCATATGGAAATATTGTAAAAATTATAGATATGGTGGAAATATTGTAAAATATGCAAAATATAAAATGACATTTTATGAAATGATAAAAGAAGCATATGCACACCTTTTTAAATTATATTCTTGTTTCAAATCATTAAACAAATCTAAGAAACTAAGGTTATAAACAAAAGAATACATTCTGAAGTTGCCTTGTAAACCTTGAGATTCAGAGCTTAATGATAAAATGAGTTAAAGAAAAATTTAAGTTTTAGACTCGTAGAAAATGTAAATGGTTGTAATATATCAACCAAATAATCTATTACACAAACAAAAACTAATACTTAACTTCATGTTTGAAATGAATATTGAGCTAGCTCAAAGTGGTAAGCATGTAGGTGGGCACTAACATTGTTACTCCACATATCTACAATATTGTCACCAACTTATGTTATAATACTATCTCTTGTACTCAGTCCACATAGTGTTTGTAGTGATTACTGGGGAGTATGTTGATTGCAGTATGTTGAGTTGGTCCGGTTTGTTTTTATTTAGTTAGGAAGTTGTTGGGCTTTAGGCCCATTAGTTTATGGTTTTTAAGTCGTGACTGTTCAGCTTTTAGTAGCCGCCCTACTAAGGGCATCCTTGTAATATCTCATCTTTTTAAGTTAAGTATAAATATAATGAGAGGGGGGCGGCTAGGGTTGATTTCATAATCTTGGTTGACTTCTTACTCTCTTCTTCTCCTTTCTTCTCTACTGCTGAAATCTTCATCTTCCCCCTCTTTCCTTCACAAGAAACTCGACTAAATCTGCAATTAGTGATCTCTACTTGGTATCAGAGCAGGTCGAAGGTTCCTTGAAGTTGTTCTCTCATGCAGCCCTAGATCGGCCGACTACATGGTGATTTAAGAGGCTGATCGAAGCTCTCAGGTAAGCCCAGTTTTTGGATTTTTTTGGTGGATCTGTGCGCCCTGTAGCTGGTCTAGGGTTTCTCATCAAAATCAGGAAAAACTAGAGAAAGGGGAAGAGTCATGTTTCTGTTGGACTCTTCAATTTTGACCTAGGAAGTGGTGCCCTAAATTTTTAGGGTTCCTTGGAGTTTTTTGTAAGGGGCGATTCAAGTCCTGCCTGATTTGGAGGCTTCTAGAGAGGGCAGTTGCTTCTCTCTCTTCTCCCGTCCCACAAAAAAAGAATCTTTCGTGTGAAGAAAGTCTAGGACACCATAAAGGTGTTGTTGGTTCCAAAAGGTGTTTTGTTTGATCTTGCTGCAAATTTCAATTATTTTCTTTACATTTTTTGAGAAGCATGGAGGGCCACGGAGTTGAAAATAAGCCCGGGAGTGAAATGGGACCAGTGGGAGGAGGTGCTGGAGACCCTTTCGGGGCTGAGACCATTACTACAGTTAGGTTGGATGGTGCAAATTACTTAGAATGGTCACAATCTACAAAGATGGCCATTGGTGCTCGTGGGAAATTAGAGTATATCACTGGTGAAGAGGTGAAACCCGAAACTAACAACTCCCGGTGGGTACAGGAGAATTATATGGTAACGACTTGGTTGTGTAATTCCATGTTGCCACATATAAGTAAAAATTTTTTATGGGCAAATACAGCTAAGGAAATATGGGATGGAGTTGGAGAAACCTATTCATAGAGGGAGAATGTTGCTAGGGCTTATCAATTGAGAAATCAGATTATTGCTACAAGGCAGGGAGATAGATCTGTTGCATCCTATTTTTCAGTCCTTAAAACCCTGTGGCAGGAGATTGACCATTTAGAGACTTTTGCTTGGGAAACCACTAAGGATGCAGCTACCTATCAGAAACATCTAGAAAAGTATAGGGTGTTTGAATTCCTTGCTGGCCTTAATCCTAAGTATGATATTGCACGACAACACCTTCTTTCTAGGGACAGTGTTACTCTCCCCCAAGCATATGCCTTTGTGTCAGGGGAGGAGTGCAGGAGAGATGTGATGATGAAAAATCTTATTTCTGATCAGTCTGCCATGGTAAGTGCTGTGAAACCTAAACAAAGT